ATTGCCAGCGTATATATATCCCATGTTTTCAGAGTATATGTTAAACGATGCCGGTGACAATATGCAACTCTGTCTAACTCCTTTTTCGACTGCGAAGATCTCGGATAGTTCATTATACGATCGTACTGTTGCTTTTTGTTGGAGATATAAGTTTGAGACCAGTCATATTCTTACCTTCGTGTTCATATTTTTTATTATATTGATTAGTTTCCCATGTGGGATTTTATCAAATGCCTTACGAATTCAATGAAATATGCATACATATCGCAGTTTACATCTCTGGCTCTCTGTATTAGAACTTGCAAGCTGAAAAGTGCTTCCCTCCCTTCGAGTCCTGCTTTGAATCCAAATTCAACTTCACTTAGGTATTCTTTTTATTTTGGTATATATGCGCAAGTGAATGATAGTAAGGAGTACTTTAAGTACATGGCTCATGAAACTAATTAATCTATGTTCTTCACATTTTCTAGCTTTATCTTTTTAGGAAGTAGAATGAATGTTGATAAGCCAGTCTTTTGGTAAGTAACCAGTCTCGTAGATATTATTAAATAGCTTCGTAAGAGCTGTGATTTAGTGTGCCTCTAATAGTTTTAAAATTTCACCATGCATCTTATCAGGTCCTAGTCATTTTCCATCCTTAATCCGCTTAATGGCCATAGTTACTTCTTGGTCTTTGGACAAACAAACACGGAAGACCAAGTGGCAATAAAAATAAAAACAGTAAAAATAGAACAGGTAAATGAGTATATCTATCTAGGACAAGCAATCAGAGCTAACAGAGAAAATCAAACAGCCGAAATATCTAGACAAGTAGGAATGGGATGGGCAGCGTTCGGCAAACTTTCTTACGTTCTAAAAAATCAAACACTCTATACTTATGAAGCAAGGTATATAACTCCTGTATAATACCGGTGCTCACCTACGGAGCATAGACGTGGACATTTACACAGGCCAATTTGGATAGGATAAGGAAGGCACAAAGAGCGATGGAGAGACAAATGTTAGGTGTATCACTTAGAGATAGAAAACGTAACCAGTGGATCAGAACCAGAACAAAGACAGTAGACGCGATATAACAAGCAGCAAAACTGAAATGGAAATGGGCTGGACACAATGAACGTCTCCAAGACGGACGATGGAACAATGCCATCGGAAAGTGGCGTCCATACAATGCAAAGAGATCAAGAGGCAGACCACAGATGAGGTGGAAACATGACATCAGGAAACAAGGAGGTCCCACATGGCAGAGAACAGCTCAAGATAGGGAAAGATGGAGAGAACTGGGGGAGACCTATATCCAACAATGGAAGGATAGAAAATAGATTCAAAAAAAAACTTATTGGTTTGTGATTTCTGAACTGCAAGGATTGTTAATTTTAGTCGGACTTCCTGCTGCATCTTTGAATAATTCTTGCATTATATTCCTTTTATCTTCGTAATTTATCTTCAATAGTAGTCAAAATTTATCCTTCAATGTTTACAACTATGGCTGTATTGCGTTGTTTTCTATTTTGTCATCCATTCTTACTTCTTTTCTCTTTTTGATTTTAGATATTCATGCGAAATTGTGGTAATAGATGTCTTCATTTCGTTCCACTGTTCTTCTATGCCTGTAGAAGTATCTTCAACTATTTTCGCAAAATTCTTATTAATCTCTGTTTTTGCTTTTTTCTGGGTGTCATTTTCTTTTAGTAGTCTTATATCTATCTTGGGCCTCATTTTCTTATGAATTATTTTAAGTCGTATGTTGATATTTGCAACCAATAGACTATGATATAAGAAGTTGTTAGATAAAAGAATGTTGATAAAATTAATTTGGTTTCTTATGATTTTCCCTGTGGTATCACCGGGTGCTTTCCATGTATAAAGTCTTCTTGGATGTAATTTAAAAAGTCATTTTATCATTACATCCATATCCGTCTCTTGGCAGAATTGACAAGACGACATTCCCGACTGTACCTCGTCCTATTTTGGCATTAAATCGCCCATGATAATAATAAGTTCATGTTTTTTAATCAGTTTTAAAGAGTCTTCTAGAGTCTAATAGAAATGTTCTATTTCCTCTTCAGTTAACTATACATAGACCAGATAGGTCACCTACAGATGAAAGAGCAATGTAAAAGAAGACTTTAATAAATATTTACATATAGGTCATGCTGTTTTATTTATTTCCACCAGCTTCTCAATGAACTATAATATTTTTTGAATTTAGATGTGTTTTCTCAACAATATATTCAATTTTCAAACGCGCTACAAGAATTATGTAGTTATATTTGATACGCATCAGTCATATTGTAAAGAACTAACAATTACATTGGTCATTTAATGCTTAATTAAGTCCGTTATTTTGAAATGGACAGAGTCTTCAATTAGTCATTGTATTTAATATGTACCCACGATGATGATCTTCCCTCTTTAATCACCAAATTATACCTCGTGGAAAATTCTTATAAAAAAGCTAATAAACAACTTATTACTCAATATCCTGAATGCATTTTGTCGCCTTGAGATTCATCGTGGGTTGCCTACTTGTCGTATTACGTTTCTTACAATTAAGTTACCTAAACCTTAATTAGACATTTTGCAATTCGACAAGCTCTTTTGATGGCACTCTTGTTAATGAAACAACCGAATAATTACTGGAGTCAAACACCGAGACAATTCGTTTAGCTATTTTGTAACAACGAATTACTGACACCGACGCTCTAAGATAATTGCCCTTCATTATATTGGAATTTTAAAACTTTTATTGACATAACACGGAACAAGAAAGATATATGTATAAACAAAATACGCATTAATTTAACATCAATGGGTAGTATAAAAAATAGAGAGAAGAAATTTTCAGACCTAAACCCAAAATAGGAATACAAGTCAGTAATCCGATTTAACCCTTTATTGCATGATTTTTTTATTTTATATAAAAAAATCTATGATTACAAACTTGACTTCAAGATTGCGGTGATAATATAAAAAAACCTACTTGGTTAGTTTTTTGCATTTTTTTATTTTTTGTCTCTGTTATATGGCACTCTATGCATTAAAGCAAGATTCAACAAGTAAAATTAATAAAAAAATGACGTTTATTACTTTCTAGTCATAATAATTATTATTCAGTGTAAAACTTGTAAAAATAATTTCTATCTTTGTTTAGGCCAAGAAAAGCATTACACCTGTCGCATTTTATGAATCATTTTGAATCCCAGGGATATTTGCATCTTTCTTTCACTACACTATAATGGAAGATGACCATATCCATCTGTTCGTACACCTTGCATTAAACTATCTGTTGCTAGACCCCTTCTTTTCTTATTTTGTAAATTGTCCGTAGACACGTAGACGTGTCCACATAGACGACCCCTTTTTGTAGTAAAACCAGCATTATTAACCTTGCATAAAAACTCTTCCACTGTCATTTTGAACTCTGCCAGAGCTAAACTATTATGCTCATTGTCACTTCTTCCCCAAAGAATCCACACATTGACAGTCATCAAATCAATAATATGGAAAAATCTACGCATGTGTCATTTTTTGAATCTGAGTTTGATCCTATAATATCCCAACATTGAATCCAGGAGATCTACTCCCCCATATACTTGTTGTAGATCGTTACAGCGTTTGGACATGGAACCATTATAATATGTGTCATATCCTTTTTCGAAAACCGTTTAACTTCAACTGTTGGCATACTCCCAGCATATTCCCTGCTCATTTATGGCTAAAAATTCCTCTTTTGGATTTTTGAGTAACCGATTCCTTAGTTTATTTAGAAGCAGTCGGATTTAAAAACATTTTATCATGGCCGGGATTACCGGCAGCAATAGCATCGTTATTGTTAGCAAAATGTAAAAAACGTTTTATTTCTTCCCATCTATTGCATGACATAACATCTGAGATCAATCGATGATTCAGGTTGGAGTTCCAATAACTTCTAGCGTTTGGCAATTGCACTATTGACATATAAATACAGGTTCCTAAGAACTGTTCTAGCGCATTTTCGGAAAGTTTCAAAGGTTTTTTAGGTATTTTTTTACTGAATATAATACAGTTTGGTAAACTATATATTTAATTATCTCATTTGTTAAAAAAAAATTTAAATGCGTAAGGGGAATCCGCTTGTTGCAACTTAGATGGCAGGTCAGTAAAACCGAGAAATCTTATATTATCATCTGATAATACCCAATTTCCTTATTTCCAAGTTGGATAATTTTTATTTTTATTCTTTATTAGATTACGTCGTAATTAGTCCACAGAAATGTCATCTTCGCTATCCAAACTGCTTTCTAAATCCGTTTCTGGGATAATAATATCTGATTCATAATTATCTACTATATTATCTTCATAGTCTGACTCTGAGGCTAATATAATAGGGGAAATATCATCATCTGATAGCCCTTCGTCTTCAGTACCATCTGCTATATCCACTAACACAAGAGTTTCACCATAAAAATTTGTGTATCCCTTATCTAAAATAAAACTAAATATTACCTAGTTCAGAACGAATATTGTGCCATATATGAAAAAGAGTTTTGCACGACAGTGCATATTGTGGCATATATCGCACAAGCATATTTTTGATCAAAAAATACCAAAATATAAAGAAATACTTGAAAATACTTACAGAAATTCTTTCTTGAAGGTCTATCCTTGGTGTTGATATGTTTTTGTACAAAAATATTAAGCAGAAACTTGTATCAACGATAATTGAATATCAAATTGGACAATTCCTATGAACAGCTGTCAGACCGCGGCCATTTGCAAATTTTTGTAACAGTTCACTTTACTGCATTGAGATGGCGCTTTATTACCGATTATAAAAAATATGTGCTCTGAACATGTGAGCATATATACTTTAAAATAAGATTCGATCTCTAACGGTTAGGTATAAAACTAAGTATTGTGCCATATATGACCCACTATGCAATAAGGAATTAAACAGAAATTTCAGCAGTAACACGATAAAGTAGCTATGAATCTTATGTTTTACTATGAATACTTACTTCTATTAACTATAGGATCAGGTTCTACATAGTTTCTAATGTTAACTGTAATGGCTTGTTCTATATTTGTTACAAAAATTTCTCTGAAACTGGTCATTGGTGAAAAGTCCGCTTGGTTTGGTTCAAAAACTCGTCGAATACCCAACTAAAACAAATTTTGCAATTCTCTAATTAATAAAATATTTTAGCAAAATGTTAAATTATGTGAATAAATTTTTCAAAAAATTGGTGTCAATGTGAGCTAGTATTAACATACTATTTGAAAATATCCACGTGTTATTAAATGACACATACAGGACTGACCACTCAAAAAAGTCCACACTTATATTTGGCAATATTTATTGGATTTGGTGAAAAGCTGACATACGCGATTTTTATTCCAAAGAAGACAATATTTTAACGATATTTTTCTGAAACTATTTTCTTGCGGCATCTTATGCAATTAAATATTTTTTTTGGGAATATGCCTTTAAAATAAGTTTACTTTAAAATAAATTTATTTGACGTTTTGATTTTCACTTCGGAAATCGTTCTCAAATACAAAGCATTAACAAATTAAAAAATGTTGTTTTTTTGTTACATGGTGAAAAATTCTTCATTAACTATACTATTCAACTTAGTTCTTGAGACAGTTCTTCAATCAGTACAAACTACTGCATATATTAATGGTGTAGCGATGGTAGCCAGTTTAATGGTAAAGCAACGATTAATAAGTGTTCCTGAGGAACGAAAAAGAGGACATAAAATAAGCAAAATAAAAACCAAGTACATGACAGTCAAAAGAACACTAGGAAATGAAAATAATATCGCAATATACAGCTACCATCTGTAGCTGGTAGCTAGAAATCTGTAGCTGGTAGAAGGATTCAATATTCATATGAAGAAGCTTGGGAGAGTTAAATCGCTGCTTATTGAATGAAGACCAAGATCACCGATTTAACTCCTAGATTTCTTCATAATGGTGGCAGAATCCAATACATACTTTAGAAGACGACATATGAGCCGACGCATATAAAATACCAATGAAGTCATTAAAGATGATCGCTCCATACAAGTTAGACGAGGACCTTCGGCGAGAATCGACGGAGCTCCCCTTTCCCAGCAAGGAGGACCAAACCTTCTTGAAGGTCTCCCCTGCGGTGGCGAAGGAATTCACAGAAGAGGAAATAAAGACCGTTGGTTAAGAAATCAAGACGGGGAAAACTCCCGCCCCCGACGGACTGCCACCGGAGGCACTGAAGATAGCAACAAGAGAGAAACCAGGTTTGATCAGAAAAATATATAACAATCTACTACGGAAGCAAGAGTTCCCCAGGTAACTAAAGGAAGCAAATCTGATTTTGCTCCTAAAGCCTAAGAAACCCCCAAATTCATCATCCTCTTATAGGTCAATATGCCTTCTGGACTGCCTTGGCAAGTTCTATCAAAATCTGTCATAATTGTCAAGAAGAGGCTGGAAGACGTGTTGGCAGATAAGAGATATGCCTTCTAGACTGACATGGCAAGTTCTATCAGAATTTTGTCAAGAAGAGACTGAAAGGCTTGTTGGTAGACAAGAGAGCTCTATCAAACCAACAATATGGATTCAGAAAAGGTCGGTTAGTAGTCGACGCCGTGATCTGGATAAGAAACGCGGTGAAAACAAGCAAAAAGTTATGGGTCGTTCTTGTTTTATTGGACATCAAAAACGCCTTCAATTCAGCGAAATGGGGTTTTATCGTAGACAATATTGTCAAACTTGGAACTCTGGAATATGTATCCAATATAATAAAGGACTACCTATCGCAAAAAAGCGTATGCATATCTAAGAAAATAAGATGAAAATGACTGCACTAGAGTACCCCAAGGGTTAGTCCTCGGACCCATACTATGGAATATTTTATACAACGGGGTACTAGAAGTAAATAAAACACAAGGAGTAAGGGCTATTGCATACGCAGACGACCTAGCCCTACCTTTAGAAGATATGAATTGGGACAATATAAACAAAGTGAATGAAGCAATAGAAAAAACTGTGAGATAAATAGAGAGAAATGACCTAAAACTTGCAGTAGAAAAGACAGAAGCAATCATCTTGAGGAGGCTACGGAAAAAAAACGTAAATTTTTGGTTTAGAAGCTCTGACCTAAGACCGAAGAAGACGTAAAATACTTGGGAATAAAAGAGGCATGTCGGAGGGCGGAAGAGAAGTCTTCAACCTTTAATAAGATAATACCGGATATAGGAGGCCTCCGGTCACACAAAAGATCAGTTATCATACAATCAATCATGTCCATTTTACTATATGGGGTCCCAGTGTGGCATGAGATCATCAACAAAGCGAAATGTACAGACATGCTTCTTAGGAGACAGAGGAAACCATTGATCAGGGTATGCAGAGCGTACAGTTTTCGGATGCACCAAAGGGGCAACGGAGCTTTAGGTTTAGGAACACAAGAAAGAAAAAGGAGTTTAGAGATCTGGCAGGACTAATAGTCAAGAGAAACAGACAAGGGTGCCTGGACGAGGGTCCTTATCCCAGCTGTAGTAATATATAAGTATGAGTGTAAACACAGACGTGTCAACTACTACTTCACCCAATTCATGACGGGGCATGGATCTTTCTGGTATTATACATATAGAATAAAGAAGACCAAGGACGACCTGCGTTCTGGGTGTGGAGTGGTGGATGACGCGCATCATGTGGTATTCGTAGGTCCCACATACAAAGTGGTGTGAACCTTGCTGCAGCTGGGTCTGGAGTCACCTCTAGGCGAGCCACATGAAATCATAAATAAAGCAACGGAAAAAAAGAGTTTTTGATTTAATCATTGGTTTTGTGACAGAAACCATAAAACATAAGGAAGAGAAAGAGAGGAGACTGAAACAAAGGTGAACTGTTAATTTTAATACGTCGTATCTGTCGGCATCAGTAGGTGGCGAAAAGTGGATAAACTGTATGGCCAAATGTAGAAAAATATGGCCAAAAGCAGCAATTTTTGTGGTTCAAAATATAAAACGTTATAATATTTGAATTATGAATTGAATCTTTATGATCAGTTGATTTCCCCATCTTGATTCGAAAAAAAAAATGACATTGAGCCTAAAGATTTAAATTTAATGCTACGTGTTTCTTAAAAAAAATAGAAAAATTATAAAAAAAGTTCTTAAGTGGCCATAAGGGGTGCCTCTGACCTACTGAGAAAAATATACGACCCAGTGTAAGAGGAGAGGAATATCCTGCTGGAACATTCGTACTGCAGTTGAGCAGGACGTAATAATAACCTAATAAGGCACGGTTCTTTACATTATTACAAAATATTATTATTGTTTTATTCCCCAGTGCGAGGTAGGCTTTTCCAATTAAATATGTCCGCTTAATTTTTGATCCACAATAACATGAATTCCCTTAGATTTAATTTTGTGAAAGTTTGATTATAACAAAATAAAAAACAATGAAAGTATCGTTTTAGATTATTCTCTGTTCACAAATTGTTGATAGCACGAAATATGCCTCAAAATCATCAAACGGTCGTAAAATTTGTATCATCATAGGCGTTCCTGAGGTGCTTATTCATTAAAATTAATATTAATATTAATAATGTTTTAATACTGATATATTTAGTAAAAAACAATTAAAACTTTCACGGCTAATGTTGGTTATTATATTATATTATATTAATAAAAATAATAATTTAACCATTAACAGTTTTGAAAATAAGAATACCTTATCTCTTTGGATATTTCAATACTAATCTTCGCGTTTAATCACTTTACTAGCAAACCTGACATTTATATCCGAAGGTACTATCGGTTGCAAGATAATTAGGATGGAATTCCCCAGATTTTTAATAATATAATGGGTATAGATGCCGGATTTGGCCACGTACCTCGTCTGTTTAGTTTATATTCGAAACTTAACTTAAAAGGGTGAAGTTATTACGAACGAAAACAATTTGTTTGTTTAGTACGTTTTTGATCGCATGTAATTTACGGCTCGTCGGTGTTTCTGCTTCTACGGCAGTAATTAACGTCTCGAATATTTCTTTTGCGAATTATATGCAGTGCGTGATTGATTTTTTATTCCATATACCTACGAACATATACGTACCTTTCGCTCGTGCTCGTTTTGTTGGATTGTTTGTGATGGCTTCATCATCAACATCATCAAGTTTTACACCGGTACTGTTGCGTACAGTCAGTAAGTCTGTCTATTCACCAAGAGAGAAGACTATTGTCCTGAATGTTCACAATGCTCTGGTTTCTCAGAATCCCACAAACACTGTTCGTAACATAGTCGAAAGTTGTGCCAACATGACTGGCGTAGGGGAGTCAACTATATATATATATATATATATATATATATATATATATATATATATATATATATATATATATATATATATATATATAGGTTCCTATCAGAAAGAAAAAAACACGGTATAGCTAACCCAAACACAAACGAACACTTAAAGAGAGGGAAAAAGCCTATTGAACTTAATGAATTTGCCAAAAATGGTATTCGAAGAAAAATTCATGGATTTTTTTGTCAAAAAAGAAATACTAAACCTAAACAAAATTTTACAAGAAGTTGGAGATGATCCGGATTTGCCTCATATCGGACGAACTAAATTGTGGCAAGTTTTAAAAGAATTAAATTTCCGGTGGGAGAAATCAGACGGAAAATCACTTTTGATTGACCGGGAGGAGATAATATGTTGGAGAAGAAATTATCTAAGATCCACACGAAAATTCCGGGCTGAAGGAAGGCCAATCTTCTACCAGGATGAATCGTGGGTAAACTCAGGTCATACTCTAAAAAAAGTTTGGTCAGATAAAAATATATTAAGCTCCAGGCAAGCCTTTATGGAAGGTTGGTCTACTGGTATCTCCCCACCTTCTGGTAAAGGCAGTAGATTAATAATTTCTCACATTGGCAGTGAAAAAGGATTTGTTAAGCATGGTTTGTTGGAATTTCAGTTCAAAAGCACAAAAGGCTATCACGAGGAGATGACAGCTGATGTTTTCGAAGAGTATTTTGTGCAGATGATTGAACATATACCACCAAATTCAATTATAGTATTAGATAATGCACCTTATCATTCACGACTAGTAGAAAGACTTCCAACGACTGCGTGGAAAAAACAGAATATTCTTGACTGGCTGCGGAATAAGTACCTGCCTTACGAAGATGGAATGGTAAAAGCAGAACTTTTAAAAATTGCCCGGCAACACAAATCTAAGTTCAAGAAATACGTAGTTGACAAAATGGTGGAAAGGAGAAACATCACAGTCCTTAGACTTCCACCCTACCACTGCGAAATAAATCCAATTGAACTCATTTGGGCACAAATGAAAAGTTATGTGGCTAGAAAAAATACGTCATATAAAATACAAGCTGTACGTGAATTGTTATACGAGTCTTTACAACACATTACAGAACAAAACTGGAAAGATGCAGTAAGACATGTAATAGAAGAAGAACAAAAAATGTGGGATCGTGATAACATAATTGATGCGACCGTAGACACAACCGCTAATTATTAACCCTCAAGACGACTCGGATCCCGAAGTTGATCCTATTTATTTTGAATTTGAATAGTTTTCTAATCGTAATTATATAAGGTAAGTGATAGTAGTTGTAATCGTAAGGTATTAAAGGGGAAAGGCGCAAAACGTCGCCTGTCAAAATGTTCAATGTGTTTTAAATGTATCGATTTTTTTTCAAATCCTGAGAAAACTAAAAAGCCTTTTTGGAAAAATTTAAAGGCAGAATAAAATATTTATTAGAATAAATAAAAAGTTTCTTTTGCATGCAATATTTTCAATTAAAAATTATACTATATTCTCTCTTTTATTTTCACCCCTGTTGCATAACATAATAAAATAAACATTGTAGAAGTTTTCAGGGACTTTCTGTAATATACATCAGTATACACATATATAATACCCTCAGTAATAATGTAATCTTTCATTCTGCTTTTAAATTTTTCAAAAATATTTATTAGTTTTCTCCGAATTCGAAAATAATGGATACATTTAAAACACATTTGGTGCCTTTCCCCTTAATTAAATAAATGTATCTTTTACAAATGGCAAAAAACTTTATTTTTGAATAAAATATGTTATTTTATTATAAGTTTTATCAAAATAAAAATACAATTTAAAAAATATATTTATTTAGTTCAAATAAATGTTTCAATCATATACTCTACGACACTGGTCGGCCAAAATACGTTCCTAATCGGATTATAAGCTTGACCGCTGTATTGTATTCCGGCAGATACAAGGTGGGTTAGTCGAAAACATTTTAAATCGTCAGTTTTAGGTTGGTTTTTACTATTATATCGTATTACCTATCCTCTCTGTATTTCAGTTCTCTAATTAGGATTAAACTTGTAGTGAGCTATCAACAAATTGTGAACCGAGTATAGTAACAAAAAATCTTTAAACAAGATGAAAACAAGGTTTTAAAAAACTAAATGTTTTCTATAATTTTGTCTCATGGTAAAAGATGTAGAACAGAATATAAATTTTAAATAAAAATAATAAATACAGGCCACTAACAATAACTAGAAATTACTCCTTAAAAATAAAACAAAAGATATACTGAGTTCTATTTCTATCACCACTTACCTTTTGCAAAGTGGGTGTCAAATTCACATACCCCTTAAGCATAAAACTTGGTATAACAGCGGTCACGTGTCGGAGCCTTAAATTATCTATGATGTACTTTAAACTTCCATTTAATCTCAATTCACAAATAAGCCTATCCACACCATTTTCCTGCACAGGTAGCAGTATGAGTAAATAATATTTTGGACTGTCCAGTGGAAAGCTTAAAGCTAGAGCCTTTAGATGAGATACGTAGAAAAATGGTAATACTGTATCATACTTCATGAACTCAATTTGGTTTTCTCGATACTTTCCCTGTATTAAGAAGCTGGGTCTCGTTTGAGGTACATAGGGTTCCAAATATTGATGGTTATTCGAGTGATAATCATCGTAGTATCTAGCGATTACGTAATCTACTACGGATCTCGTTTTTCTCACTAGATCTCTTTTTGAGTCTTCTACTCCACTTACCAATTTTCGATGTTTTCCGGAAATATATTCATTATAATCCGATGTGTAAGTAGATCTGGGTCTGTGTTTGTAAATATTTAATCGCATAAAGTTATTTTTTGATCGTTTTCGTTTAGCAGTCAAAGCTGGTGCATCACTAGTAAAAACCTCATTTTCATTAACTTCTTTGGACGTTTCGATCTCTGGTGTTGATGCATCCGGGTAGGGATATGACAATAAAGTTGTCGTTTCTGGAACAGCTTCAGTTTCTGTAACTATTTCTGTTGAACTATCTACTGCTTCATTGTCTGTTAATATTTCAGTTTGAACTTCTCTAGCTGGTGTTTCAGTTGTTGTTTCTGTAACTTCAGTTTGTGTGAATGTTTCAGCCATTGTTGAAGTTGGTACAAATGTACTTTCAAATGTTACAGATTCGATTATTGTTGCTGTAGTTTTAGCTTGTGTGGACGTTTCAGCTACATTTGAAACTTCAGTGGACGTTTCTTTAGAAAAACTTGGTTCTGTTGTAGGTTCTTCTATTAAACCATCTGTTGTTTCTTTAATTGTAGTTTTCGGAAATAATTCAACTTCTTTTGATATTTCTGTAGTTGTAGTTTGCGGAAATGATTCAACTTCTTTTGATACTTCTAAAGGTGTAGGTTGTGAGAATGATTCAAGTTCTGTTGATATTTCAGAGGGCAAAGTAACTAGTGTGGTTTCCAACATAATACTTTCTGTTGTTGTTTCTGTTTCGGTTTTTGTTGGTTCCGTAGTGGTAATTATTGTTGTATCAGGTAACTTGGAAGTAGTTTCTGGAATGGCACTTTCTGTTGTAGTTATTATAGAAGTTATTACCGTGGTGGGTGCTTGAGTGGTATATTCTAAAAAAGAATCAAATTTATTTATCTAAAAAATATAAATAATATATATATATATATATATATATATATATATATATATATATATATATATATATATATAATATTTTTAACAAAAGACGGATCTCAGTCTTTTTTAAAACCTGTTTTGGTAATTTTAACTGATTTATATGGTTTGTGAATCCAAAAATGAATTCCGTTTTTTGTTTATTGTTTATTATTTGAAAAATTTATTTTTAAATTTAAATGAGCGTCTAAACCAGGATTGTTCCACTGGCGGCCCGCGTGCCGCATCCGGCCCGCGAGGCTATTTGTTGTGACCCACGTAAGATTTTCGAAAAGCATATATTTTCTTTAAATGCTGCCACTGTGAAAAAAGATTTGTTAATTTATTTTATATTTTATGGTTTAGCAGTGTTTTTACATCACAAGTACTGTACCGCGTGCCGCTTCGCAGACGTGTAACGAACACAATCGTCCTTTACCACTATGAGAACTGCACTGATTACATCTTATGCCGTGTCACTTGAGCTGGCAAAGGCAAAAAACCTTTCACTGAAAATCAGTCAAGGAAGATCAAGTTTTCCAAACCGTGATTAAGATTATAAATATGATTAGAGGTGGAAATCGATCTCTTTTACACAGGCAACTTAAGCAGTTTTTAGTGGAAACAGAATCTGAGTATGGAGACTTGCTAATGTACAACCATGTAAGGTGGCTGAGTGCAGGAAAGTGCATGGAACGATTTTTTGCCATAAGAAAGAAAATCCTTGCATTCCTCAACAAATACGTTTCATCTGACACAACTGAACTGCAAGAGAAGTTTAAGGATCCAGGATTCTTAAGACAGATAGCTTTTATAACAGATCTGACTAATCATCTTAACATGTTAAACTTGAGTTTTCAAGGAAGAAACCAGACGGTTTCAGATTTGATCGGAATGATAAACGGATTCCGGAATAAGCTGAACGTGTTTAAACGTGCTTTGGAAAAGAACAACCTGATACACTTTCCTAGCTGTCTGCAAATAACAAAAGAATTCAACGGTGAGGAAAATATTGAGTTTTCATCCTGCATTTCACAAATTGAACAAGTTATTGATGAATTCAATACAAGATTTGAAGAAATTGAAAGTCTCAAAAGCAGTGTACTACTTTATGATAACCCTCTTGGAGCAACCATTGATGATCAACCACCCAACTTACAGCTTGAGTTATGTGATCTTCAAGCAGACATGTTCCTAGTCACCAAACAAGAAAAGGGACCTGAATTTTCCAAATTACTGTCAAAGGAGAAATTCCCAAACCTGCGAGATTTTGTACTAAAAATGACGGCAATGTTCGAAAGCACATATACATGTGAAAGTGCCTTTTACTCCATGAAATACATAAAAAATAAAAACAGAAGCAACCTTACCGATTCTTCCTTACGTCATCTTATGAGAGTGTCTACAACTGAACTGGAAGTGGACATTTCTTCATTGGTGATGGTCTGCAATGGTCTGCTATCATTGATGTGCCCCATTTTCCTTGATATTTTCTTTCCATCTCTTTGATATCCTAAACAAAAAGTTCTACTTGTTCTTTGCTCACAGCCTCCAAATTCTTAGGAAAATAGTCCAGGTGCGAGTGGAAAAATGTATCTTTATGTTTTGACACAAAGCAAGTCTTAAAAAAACTAGCTTTTTTGACTATATTTTCCTTGTAAGTTTTCTTGAAGAAAAAACATTGTTTTTTCCCGACAATAAACTTCCTTGGCTTCCAACTCTCCGTTGATCAGTGATTTTTTTTTATCTTGACTGTAACATAGACGTAAAAAACAAGAAAATTTGGTGTAACTAGCTTGTTGCCCAAAGTATCATAAACAAGATCTTCAAATCACTGTACATTTGCCAACCGTGATCTTCATAGTTGAGTTTGTGTTTTTTAGAAGAAAGACATAGTTTCTTTCAAGAACATATAATGTCCAAAGGAAATAGAAGCATAGATGTCAATATTATGGAGTAAAAATGCTTTTAAGCCGCTTCAATAAAGAGATGCCATTGAGGTGATTCATAATGGATTATGAATTAAACCATCAACCCATTAATATGACTACAGTGAACTAGTTTTTCATCTTATAATCATAATAGTTACAAAATGTTTTTATGACAACTGAACTGTGAAAAAGACACCCCAAATAGTAATAAATTTTTATTCTTAAGTAGAGATGCAAACTACTCAGCAACATCTATGGGAAGATCTAGATCTCTCATCAAATCATTTATCTCTTCATGAGATAAGAATTTTGCTCTAGTGTTATCTTAAAAACAATAGAGGCGGATAAAATGGATGAACTAGATATTCAAAGACAAATAGTAACAGGAAACAAAGTTTACTTTCCACTCGTTCATATGTTCCGCTCCAGAAACACACACTGGAGATCAAAAATCAGAGTCTACAAAACTATTATCAGACCAATGGTATGCTATGGATGTGAGACATGGGTGATGACAGAAGACACAAAACGAAAGCTGAAAAGTCTTCGAAACAAAAGTCATAAGGAAGATATTTGGACCTATTAACGAAAATGAAGTATGAAGATCCAGGTACAACCAAGAACCTTACCAACTGCTCAAAGAGTCACTGGTCTCAGTATTCGTTAAAATTCAGAGACTTTGATGGGTTGGTCATGTAATGAGAATGGAGACCGAAAAATTGAAAAAAAGAGCATTAAATAGTAAAATATAGGACGTAAAGACAATAGGAAGGCCACGGAAACGGTGGAAGGATAAAGTGGCAGCGCGAAATTTGCTAGACATAAGAACCTGGAGACATAACAACGTCAGTCAAGAAATTCACAAATTCAACAAGCAATACAAAGACTTAATGAAAAATAACTTATTGAATCGTAAGTCTAAGCTTACAATCTACAAGACAGTACAATTAGACCATTGGTCACATATGGATGTGAAACGTGGACCCTTTCAACCACTGATGAAAATCAATTGAGAATATTTGAGCTCAAAATATTTTGCGATGTTTTGTGGAGAATAAAAATTACCTATGAGCTGGATGAACTAATGCAGAACGCAGATATTGTCAGGTTTGTAAAGTCACAAAGACTAAACTAGCTTGGCCACTTAGAAATAATGCCAGATAATTTTTTCAAAAGGAAGACCCCTTAAAAGGCAGATAGACCATGTAGAGAAAGATCTTAAAACCATAACCATCAGGCAGTAGCGAAGGAAAGTATTCGACGGTGCAGAATGAAAGAACGTTGTTAAACAAACCAAGACCCACAAAGGGTTGTAACGCCATTAGAAGATGTTATCTTAAAAGTCAACTCTTGAGTCCTGAGGATTCTGAGGTTATAATTCACCTTTACCTGAATCTGGTATCTTCCCAAACGTAAAATGAGCTTTGAAAGCTTTGTTTCAATATTATCATGAAGAAGACAAATAGCTTAGACGAGATTTTGGTAAATTGTCTTAAATTAGTTTAGAATGTCGTCCACACATCTTTCGTAAACTTTATTACAATATTTGCCGGAGACTGACGACCTTGCATTTTCTTTGTTTCTCATTTTATGGGGATTCCTGGATGTTTGTACTACATCGCTGGCCTGTGCAGGTTGATAGAAGATTGTTATGACGAGTTAGGAAATTTGGTGTCTTCAGCAGGGATGATAAGTTGGATTAAGCTGGTGCCCTCTCGCTTTAATGGACTGAGAGTGAACCAAGGCTCGTGTAGGTAGGGTTCCTACCCTGAAGTATACCTGACTTTACCGGGATCGTAAAATGTATTCACCCTCTTCCTTATGTACCACACCAATGAGAACATAAATATTATATCCTCCAGAAGTTTTTTTTTCATCTACCGTAAAGAAAAACTAGTATTCTGCCACAATTTTTCTAATGGAATTGACTACCTCTCTACATATGACTTTTTTTGTAATGTACTTTCTTCTGGTACGTTTTATTAATAAAGGTTTTGTAAACATCTACTAATCATGGATTGTTGTAACTTATTAAACGATATATTCTCTGCCATCATGGTTAAATACAGGTCTATCTTAAAGTTATCTTCTTGGTTTGAGCTTTTAGTGGTTTTTAAAAACAAAGTTAGAGGCAATTGCTCTTTAAAATTTTTTTTACTTTGCTGGGTACCCAATATATAGAGTTATATAGAGTAAATATAATTTGCAAGAAAGATGTTATATTTTAATTTATAATACGCCTATTGTTCCGGAAGATTTGCTATGGAACACATGCTGTTAAACTGTTTTTAAGATCGAGTTTATATGAGAAGTATGTTTATAGAGAAGAGTTTATATGAGAGAAGAACAGTTTTGAAGTAAATTTTTCCACCTTCAATGCACAGTTCAGTATTTGTTGCAATCCAACTACAAATGCTTTACATATTTTAACTAAGGCACCAAATTGAACTATTTTAATAAAATTGGTATGATAACCAAATTATTTCAAATGAGCGCATTAATAAAGATTCTAAATTATCAGCAAAACAAGCAAAAATCCAAATGCTCATCTCGCATTTGGTAATTAACAATGATTAAAACTGAGTGACATCATCACGATATAGCTTAAAGTGTCTTCATATTGGATATTATACAAAACATTTAAATGAGCTACAACTTACCAATGGTTGACGAAATTTCCATTGGTACGTTTTCTGTATTAATTTCTGTAGTCGTAATCTCTTCCACAGTAGTTTCGACAGGTTCTGTACTCATCTTTGTTGTGGTATCTATATTTATACTGGTAATTGTTGTTGTTTCCTGGGTAGTACTTGTAGGAGAAGTTGAAAGTGTTGTATAAATTTCTTCGGTTATGACACTAGGTGTGATGCTACCATCTTTTATTTCCCTAGTAGTTTTTGTAAGTTCTTCTGTAGTACTCATACTTACTTCTGTAGTCACAAATGTAGTATTAGTTGTAGGTACTTCTGTGGTAATTATTTTAAGTGTAGTAGTATCTGAATTTGGTATGGTAGTTGGTTGTAAAGTTGTAATAGTGGTAGTACGTTCTGTAGGTAATATAGTACTTATTTCCGTTAATGTCATAGGAATAGTTGTAGTAATTGTAGTTGTAGTTTCTTGTGAAGTAGTGGTCGGTTGTGCAGTTGTAACCGTACCTTCAACAGTTACAGATGCTGTAACTACTGTAGTGTCTAATTTAGACTGTCGTTCTGTAGTACTTGTAGGTAACGTCATTTCCATGGTCATTTCTCTTCCAGGTGTATCTGAAGTTGTTAGAGATGGTCGCTCTGTTGTTGGTGGAGGGGGATACAACCCACTGTTAAAAGACGTAATATCAAAACCATAATACTTTAAAGTGTCGACATAGGATGGTCTTAAAGTAACGTTCTCATGGTTTAAGGTTAAACCTGCTAGAAAACCTTCTTTTGGGATAAAGTAACTCTGAAATATAAAGAAAATAAAATGTAATATGATTTATATTTAAAATAAAATATAGAATATAATGCCATTGTTAATTTTAGAAAAATTATGGTAATTTCTGTAAACCGAATATTTACAATATTTTTATGCAGTACCTTATCGAATGCATTTTCAAAATCTACATAACATAATTACGTACCCATCCATCAAGACATTAAACAGCATAATCAAGTAGAACAAAGCTTCTCTTGTGGCCTTAACATATTTATAAATTGAAATTATTTTGTATCACTAATTTCATGGCTAATATCTGTGCTTTTAAGTTTCAGTATAAATATACATTTGAAATCTCTAGGGGGCACAAATCTATTGATTGATTTTATAGTCACTAATAGAAAAATCCACCCAAAGCAGATTCTAGATATCTGAACTTTCAACTCAGCAGACACTGGGAGTGAACACAAACTAGTACTAGCAAAAATAAGAATAAAAATAACACCAAAACATTTTTTACAGGAAACTTGTACAAAAACTAATATTACACCCAGCGATTACATAGATAAAGAAGACCCCAACAATTATAGAGGTAGAAATCTACTGAACACCGCACTTAAGCTTACAACAAAAGTTTTAACCACAAAATCAATAAACTAACAACTTGATCAGATGAACAACAAGGATTCAGATCCGAAAGATCCTGCGTAGACGCCGTATTTGTACTAAGACAAATTACAGAAAAGGCCATTGAGTACAATAAACCAGCATATCTATATTTTATAGACCTGACAAAGGCTTTCGATTGCATCCAAGTCGAAGATGTATTAAACCTACTGTATAAAAGAAACATACCAATCAATATTATACAAACTATCGAAAACATCTACTTATATAATCGAATACAGGCAAAGATAAATGGAAACTAACAGTGTATACCAGTACAAAGCGGAGTCAGACAGGGTGACTCGTTAAGCCCACTTCTATTTAATGTAATAATAGACGAAATCATACAAGCAGAACGAAAAGGTCATGGTTACATAATGGGGAACAGAGAAATTGAAATTTTATGTTATGCAGGCGACGTCGCATTAATCGCCGAGACAGATGACGAGCTCTAACTTCTAAATACCCACTACAATGTAAAATCGAAATTGATGGAAAAATTATAAAGCACGAAGCAAGGTTTGAATATCTGTGAATAGATATAACTAGTTACAGATATGTTGAAGAAGAAGTATGACAACAAAGCTTAAAATCAAGTAAAGCAGCAGGATCTCTTAATGACACAATCTGGAAGAATAAACACCTAATACAAGATACAAAAACAAGAATCTATAAATCATCAGAAAAAGTCTGTTGATAGGGAGAGAAGCGAAAACATAAGAAGAGCATGCAATATAGAAGACATAAATATATGGGTGACCAAACGGAAACAGGAGTGGAACAAACATATTAGTAGAATGGCAGAGCATAGGATAGTACGAATAGCACTAGATAAGTCACCAAATGGACGAAGAAGTATGGCAGACGAAGAAAAGATTGTGCGATAATTTAAACAATTTGTTATGCTAATAGACACATAATAAAGAAGACACAGGCTTTAAAGCCTACATACAAAAAGGAAGAAGAAGACTAATTTCATATTTAAAAGTGTTAAAAATTCCGCTGTGTTTGATTCTCAAGATTATTTTAAATGTGTTACTAATTACAGTTATTGTTCCCTGATCTGAGTAGGTTGTTACACTTCACTTTTAAAGGATTGCTTTAAAGGTCGAGTGTGACCATTATGTGAAGATTAAGGCTGTATGATATATTGTATAATGACAAAGTTAAACCATTACATCAAAACATTTTCATTAATGAATTATAATAATTCGATTGGCACTACACTGGTCCAGTAGCTTTGCCATGTTTTGTTTTTTTTTTGATGGCATATATTACTTCTTTTTGTAATAATGAGAAAAAATATCTATTCAGGGCAAAAATAGTAGAAAAAATGTCTTGGAATATAAAAGGAAGTAATGATACATTTAGAAGTCAGACGGCCAGTATCATTAGAGATAATGCTATTGAAATATTTGGAAAATTCCAGGAAAGAAGTTTGAGAATAAGGAGACCTGTGGTGGTCTAATCAGTTCAAGAAAACATTTAAGAGAGAAGAGAAGATTGTATAAACAGTGGCAAGAAAATAGGTCAGACACAGATCTCCAAAAATATATATGGTCACCAAACAGGAAGCAAAAGTTTCAGTAGCAAAAGCTAAAGCAGAAGCGTATAATAATCCATACGATCAACTTAACACCGGGGAAGGAGAAGCCAATATTTATAAAATAGCCAAACATAGAACAAAGAAAGGAAAAAAATTAAATCAGATTAGATGTATCCGAGATAAAAAAAATGAAAGAGTGAATAAATTTAAATACCTGGGATCGTGGCTTTTTGAAGACTGTGCATCGGACAGGGAAGCATGTCGCATTGAGCAAGCTGGAAAAGCTTTCGTAAAATTCAAGAAAGTACTGACTTGTTCAGAGTTTGATCTTCAACTGAGACTAAGGTTTACTAAGTGCTACGTATGGTCAGTGCTGCTATATGGCGTAGAGGGCTGGACACTCAAAACGAGGGATATAAACAGATTAGAAGCTTTCGAAATGTGGCTTTATCGCCGTATCCTAAAAATACCATGGACAGCGAAAATCACAAATATAGGTGTCCTTAAAAGAATAAACCAAGAACGCCAACTTTTCGAAACAATCAAGAGAAGGAAAACGGCGTATCTAGGTCACATCATGCGAAATGAAAAATACCAGTTTCCTCCAACTTATAATCGAGGGTAAAATTGAAGGCAAGAGAGGAATGGGACGCAAGAAAATGTCCTGGCTCCGAAACATAAGGCAATGGACAGGGATTAACGACATACAATATCTGATACATATTGCAAGAAATAGAGAATTAATGGAAAATGTGATCGCTAACATCCATTAGTGGATTTGCATCTAAAGAAGAAGAAGAGATAAAAAATAGTAAAATACTAATTCACGAGAAGGATGTCAAAAAAACTGAAAAATGTACTTTTTCAGTTTTAACATACAGGTTATTAAATGTAGAAACCCAGTTAAATTAACGGCAATGGTGACCAAAATAACAAACGCAGAAGTGGCTTAAGCAATTCAAAAATAAAAAAATAAAAAACAATTGGACCAGATGATTCCTGAGGAAGTGTGGAAAGCATTAGAGAGATAGGACACATTGGTTAACAGGTCTATTAAATAGTATTATGGAAGTTGCACAAGAGAGACTGATAAATTTCATGTAAAAGTATGATTGCACCAAGGCTCAATGCTTAGTCCTTATTTATGCTCATTAGTTGTGGATTAAATAACAGCGAAACTACAGGATAATATTTCTTGGAGATTAATATACGCTGGTGATGTAGTGTTAATAAGAAATAGTAAAAGCGGCTTAGAACAAAAACTGGAACAGTGAAGACAAGCTCTTGAGGAAAAATGTTTAAAACTTAGTAGGACGAAAACAGAGTATTTGGAATTTACATTTAAAGATGAAGTTAGTGCAAATAGTTAAAATAGCAAAAAGTTAGTGAAAAATATTAGTTTTAAGTTCCTAGGAGTATTAGAGAAACGGTGAGATAGATGGAGATGCATGCAGTAGAATTAGGGATGGGTGAATGAAGTAGACGGAAGCGAGTGGCGAATTTCAAGTGATGTGACAGAAAAATTCCAATGAAGCTGAAGAGAAAATTCTATAAAACAGCCATAAGACCAGCTATGGTGTACGGAACTGAACGTTGGACAGTTAAAACAAAAGAGAAACAACAAATGCATGCGGAAATTTGAATGCTTGGATGAGTGAGTGAAGTGATAAAAAAGATAAAATTAGAAACGAGTATATTAGGAGAAGTTTAGGGGTGGCACCTATTGTTGCCAAGATTAAAGAGCATAGGTTAAGATGTTTGGTCATGTTTAACGTAGAGATCTTAATAACCCAATACGGGGACGCTTGGGCAGGACATGTCGGTTAAGGGTATGAATACTGATATTACTCAAGACAGAAACTTATGGAGAAATGTAATTAGGGAAGCCGATCCGCATAGCATAAAGAGCAAATAATGATGATAATATGATTATTAAAAATTTAAACATTATGTACCTTTAAATGTCGATGGATATCTCGCAAACCAACTCTAATAATGGATATGTCGTTGGGAATATGAGCAGCTTGTTGCAGTTCACGTACAGCTTCACCCTGAAGACCTTCTCCTAAAGCTACAAGAATACTAACAGCCCCATAGGGCGATATGGCTATATTATCTTCGTTGTTTTCATTGTGAATCTGAAATAAAATAATAATCACAGTTAATATAAAATAAATAATAGGTTCATCAGGCGAACTAAGTATAAAAGAATTAAAGACATAAATCAGTACCGTAACATAAACTTGAAAGATGGCAGTAAAGACGACAAGAGACGGTTTCCCCAATAGCTAGATTATCAGTATGAAGACCACGTAAACGATGGAAGGACAACTTCATCATGAGTGCTATTACAGCCCGTTATGAGCCAAAGCCTTCTTTAGAACAATCTTCTATTCGCCCCTGTCTCTGGCAACTCTTCTTTATGCTTTAACTCCAATGAATTTTCGATCATCCTCTATGTCATCTTGATACCTAAGTTTTGGTATTTCTCTGGCTCGTCTTTCCACTAGTCCTCTTTTTTCTGATTTGAAAAATTTTTCTGATCGTTTTTTTCATCGAAGGCCTGTAAATTTAATACATTTTACAACGTCAGATTCCCCAAAACTTCTGTATAACTCAAAGTTGTAGCGCCTACACCTGTGAGGTCGGGTAGTGTATTTCAGCCAGAGAAATAGGATTCGTTCGTATAGACATTTATTTCGAACTAACATATACAAGTGAAAAAAGTAATTAACGTTAAGTGTTTACTGAATATAATGCTTAAATACAAGAACGTACTGTTTATTTATTTCGGTAGATGGGTGTGACGATATTCGATATGATAAACTAAGATATGGCGATCGAGGAATTGAGGTCGTACTCGTTCCTCAACGCAGAACGAGTACTCGGACGGGGATAAGGATGTCTATCTAGTTTAACACACTAGATGGAAAGAACGCGTCAATCTCCTTCAACGCACCAGATTGACGCGGTCAGAGGAAGGATTGTCAATTTTGCTCAACGCGCCAGATCGACTGGGTTCGGAAAGGATTTGGGACACGTTCAACTCACCTGTTCCCAAGGTCGGATATTCTCAACTCAACGCGTCGAGAATGGTTAGCTGTCTTTCAGTTTCGACTTTTATACTATTCGAGACGGAACAAAAACGTGTTTTGTTTAACGCATAGGCGTACTCTTGACGATAAAATATATTATCGTCACACACCACAAACCCTGTTCATGGATTCCTCCACATATTTTCCTTAGAACTTTTCTCTCGAAACGTTTAAACAATTCTTGGTCGTTCTGTGTAACTACGTTTCTGACCCGTATGTAAACACTGGCCTAGTTAGTGTTTTATATATGCTAATTTTAATTTTCCTGAGTTGTTTTGGGGCCATCTATTTCCTCAAGCGATAATAGCACTTATTAGTAAACACTCTTCTTCTTTTAATTTCCCCGCTGACATTGTTGTCTTTGGTCAGCAGCGAGCTCAGGTAGATGAAGGTGTCCACGCCTTCCAGTTCCAGATCATCAATTAATAGTCTAGGTATCTGGTTTCCTGATCTAGTACTATATACAGGGTGGTGAATCGTCAAACGGGCCATAGGAAACTCAATGGAAAATTCTAAATTGTTGAATTCCTGCTTCCCTAATTATTTTACACCAAAAGTCATGGGAAACTATTTGTAGAGGACTCAAATATGTATAGAAAACAACTGTTAAAATTATTCTACGACTTAAACGTATTCCAAAATTTTGCTAAAATATAATACATTTTTCTGTGAAAAAATGTGTATTATGTGTTGCGTTTTGTCATAGTATTGTTTCTGATATTTGACAATATTTAAATCAATTATATTACATTTATCTATGATTTAAATGGCCAAAATTTTGTGATTTATTGTTAAAAAAAATTAAGTTGATTAAAAAATGTACTCAGTTGAGGAGAAAAAAGCAATAATAAAAATGTTTTATTCATGTTTTATTATAACAGTTGTTTATAGTTTTATGTTTAGAAATTATCATATATTATTATTAAGAATAAAGATCACAGTAACAGTATATTGGAATTGTTGTATAACTTAACTTAACATGGAATTAAATTTTAGTGAATTAGAATATCTTACGTTAAATAAAGATATGGTAGTGGCAGAAAAAGGTTCGCGGTATTGCCTGAATACAACATGCGATTTTTCGTCAACTGAGTGCATTTCATTATATTGATCGATTTGTAAACAATATAATTTATTGTTCACAAAGTAATAATGTTCATTAGTAGTAGTATTTAGTAAAATTCATTGTTTATAATTTAATCATAAAATAAAAAAATTGACAATTCAAATTGTCAAACATATGACATCAATATGATAAAAGACACACGTCCTAATATATATTCTTGCATTACGTGTGGCCTAACTTTTAGGGGTGGCCTGAAAAATGTATTATATTTTTGCAAAATTTTGAAGTACATTTGATTCGTAAAACGGTTTTAACATTTGTTTTTAATTCAGATTTTAGTCCTCTACAAATAGTTTTTTATGACTTTTGATCTAAAATAATTAGGGAAGCAGCAATTCAACAATTTAAAATTTCCCATTGAGTTTCCTATGGCCCGTTTGACGATTCACCACCCGGTATATATATATATATATATATATATATATATTTATATATTATATATATATATATATATTATATATATATATACTATATATATTACTATATATGTACTATATATGTACTATATATATATATATACTATATATATACTATATATATACTATATATGTAGTATACTGATGTAGTACCTGATGTACTATATATATAATATATATATAATATAATATATATTAATATATTATATATATATAATATTCTCAGTGTAGACGCCCTTAATAATCGAAATGCTTCAATCAGAGATTGAACCTAGCAATAATGTCTATGTCATTCGCATATCCGACCACTTGTACAGATTTATTGAAGATGGCGCTTTCTAGTGCAAGATTAAATACGAGACCATTCAGTTCAGAGACCTATTCAGTCCATCTCTCTGTCTCAGTCCATTTTTACAATGAAAGGGTCTTAAAAAGTCGTTTTGAATTCTGACTTCACTCTCTACTCCTGTGAGTGTAATAAAAGTGGAACCACAACTTACTGGAGGCATATTGAAAAACAGACAGAGTGTTGTCTATATAAAAAGAAGAAGAAGAAAAAGATATCTTAAAAATAGAAATCTCTCACTTGCTAAAAAACGTTAATTCTTGTTACAGATAATAAATATGTCACGGCAAATCAATTATTTTGCAAATTTTTATCACACTATTTTAACTTTATAATACTTTAAAACAAATATTTTATTAAACCATAGAATTCCAAATGCCACCAATAAAGAATTTTAACAATATTCTTTAAATATGTTTATTTTTTGCTTTTCTGAACATTTTTAAAATTGGCTTTTAAGACGTTTCTTTAGCAATTCCTTTATCTAATGTAAAACAGTAAAGATGGAAGAATATGGATAAAATGTATTAAACAAGATTTATCATTATTCAAAGATACAACAATACGTTGATTAATGGCGAAGATAATAAGGTAGATGATCGTTGAATGAACAAGGATCAAAAGAAAATAATTTACAAATTCAACACCTTATAAAACAACAATACACGAGTAAAACAAAGCTACTACTCCATAACAAAATGTAGTACTGTTATTGCAAATATTTTACCTAATTTCTATTTATCCTTTTTGTTTTCGTATTAGTTTTAACAACCATAGCGTTCAAAGTAATTGATGCATATCGTTATTATCCAAGCATTTCATGATATTATATTGTATCGACAGATTTAACAAAAGTGCATCCTACAAACGTGAAAATATTGACAAAAGATTACAACATCTATTTTTGCAAATTGGTACAGATATAAATAGCGGGAGACTGATATATACAGGGTATTATTTAGTTTTATATTATATATAGTAGTATAAGTGTTTTGAAAATAAACAGAAAAAGGAGGCATGAAAGAACAAAACGACAAAATTATAAACTGTGATTTAATGTGGTAAAAGATATAGCTAAGAATTAATCATAATCAAGGAAGAACGTAATTGATGATTTGGTGCCAACATAGAGAAATTAGAAAAAGCAAGATTTTTTTTGTAACGATAAGTATTGAAGAAGAACAATTATTGTAACACCACACATAAAGAATTAACAGCAAATGTTAGGATTTAAAAAATGTAGACACCATGCCGCGCCATCGACATATATTTTTTTAAATAACAGTCAAAACATACCAAACAATTTCAAGAAGAGTAACAACTTTGCACATGTTCGGATAGGTTTCCGCGGTCAAATGAATGAAAATCACTAGGTTCTCCGAAGAACCGCGTTGAGAATTTAATGCTCGACATTTCGGCTCCCATTTTGGAGACATTTTTAAGAATGATACGGTTCGGTTCGAGTTCGGGGTCTCAATCTGCCTACTCCCCTCACTCGAGACGTACCAGTATCGTGTTCTGTATTATAAATACAAGAACTGTCTCTCGGCACTGAGGTCTCAATCTGCCTACTCCTCAGTGTCGAGTGACAACCGGTCTATAATAAAAATAAAAATAAAAAATAAAAATAAAAACGTTTATTGCCTAATAAAATCTCACATTTCAAACTTAAAAATGTTTGCCTTCTTTCTTCCCGATGTCCCGCTTTTGCACCATCTTCTTCTGATTTGTCTCCCTCTCGGCATCCTGGACTTCTCTGGGTGGTTTCCTCGTCTTTTTCTGTAGGTACTTTATACGGCATCGTACCTACTTCCCTACAGCCGGTCTTACCCTGTGTCGTTGCTTTTATACTCGCTGTATGCGCGGTAACGGTATGCACTGACGGGGGTCTGAGCGTCTGAGCGGTGTGAGCGGGAGGTCGCTGAAGCAGAGGTCACCATGTTGCCGGCAATCGTTTGAATGTTTGAATATGGGGTTAGGCTAGGGCTGAAGTAGTATCGGAATGTTTGACTGATATAGAATGTTCGTAAATACGGTTATGGATTCGTCGGTTTGTCTGTCCGATGTATGTACGTGGGCCACTGGAACAAAGTATCTCGTAGACACCATGGTCTTCATTAGGGATTTGGTCTTTTACGGATCTGACCAGAATGGACAACTTGGAGTGAGTAGTGAAGATGATTTTGATGTTTAGAGGAAGAAGAGTTCTACTGATCTTGTCAGTGACACCTTTAATAAAAGGTAGAAAGATTTTGGGTTGATCTGGCGGCCAATGCAGCAATGCGACCAATTTGTGGCAATAATGTAGAGAAGACTCTGAGGTTTCCAGAGCAACAACTAACACATCCACAAAGAAAACTAAGCTACCTGAGAAGAGGAATACCAAACGTTTAGAACGTTTTAAACAACAAGAAACAGGTTAATGCGAGTTGACAGTAAAATAAAGGTAAAAACCGTATATACGTATTTCTGACTATTGGTCGTCTTCAGTATGGTACAGCCAAGTTATAAAGGGAGCATAATAACTTGGAAAAGGATCGCTATGCCGATACCTTTTACCTTTATTTTACTATCAACTCGCATTAACCTTTTTCTTGTCGTTTAAAAAGTTGTAAACGTTTGGCATTCTTTTTCTCAGGTAGCGTAGCTTCTTCCGTGGATGTGTTAGTTGTTGCTCTGGTAACCTCAGAGTCTTCTAACGTTATTGCCACAAATTGGTCGCACTGTTCATGTAGTAAGCTAGCAGAGTAACTTTGAGGATGTCAGCGTACTCGGAAGTTCTTCAATGCAAGCCGGTATTAAAGTGGATCGGTAGGTTAACTTTTTTTTGACTTCCAGGATCGTACGTGACCGTAAAAAGAGCAGGAAGTTTTTTAAGGTCTCTTGGGTATTTGAATTGGGACCGTTTATGATTTTGAGAGTAGAGTTCCTATTAAGAAAGTTTATTATCTCGGTGATTGTTGCAACATTGGATATGTTATGGATTTCACGGGATAGAAATCTCCAGGGTTTATTGTTTACACTACGCAGGATTTTATGTTCAGTTGTTAGTAGTTTACGTTTCTTATGAGCTTGCGCAAGACAGCATCGCTATTTATATTTATTTATAATTCAATTTTAAACCATATTGGGGGATGGGGAGAAATTTGCCCATCGCCCCCTGTCTATCTGCCGTTGCTTACATAAGTGTGTATTTTTACTCGGTAGAAATATTTTGGAGAAGACTAAGAAGTTCATAACAACCTGGAAAACCCATACGTAAAGATTTATTGAAGTAAATGTGTCTTCACGGATATAAACTAACAATTATGGGCGTATATGCAATAAATAACGACGCACTAGCCAACGTAAAAGACGCATTTTTTAAACAGCTTCACGAAGAAATATCGAAAATAAGTCAATTGTGGGATATAAAATGGGGGATATTAACAGTAGAGTAAGAAGAAAAGATGCTGTTGAAATAGTAGGAAAATACGGAGCAGACACCACGAACAACAATGGTGAAAGATACTTTTACATAAATTGATACACAGCTATACATGGATTCAGGAAACACGAAACATAAAATCAATAATCGATTATATTGTAACAAAACAAAAAACCCGGTTGAGAGTACAAGATGTAACAGTTCAGAAAAGCGCAACATGCGGTAGCGATCAATATTTATTACGCTGTAATATAAAATACACTTCCCAATCCGAAGACAATAGAGAGAAACACATATAGACATAAACAAGACAGAAAAGATACAGGAACGAAGATACAACATCAGAAGCCTAGATGAAGAAAGTACCCAAGACTTATTGAAAAATAGATTGGATGAGAACCTACAAATTACCGCCCCTAAGAATATCAACTAGTTATATGAACATATAAAAAACTGTTTACACGAAGCAGCATTTGAAGCAATGGGATACTACATAAAACCCAAGGTAAACAAACTATACTGGTATGATAACGAAATAAAGGAAGAAATAAAATGTAAAAGACAACTATACCAACAATATTTTAGCTTCAAATCATTACAAGACAAAATAAAATATAAAGAAAAACAAGCAGAAAATATCTAAGAAGAAGAACGAGTCTTGGAAAAGAAACTGCCAACGAATAAATACTTATCTATGAGGAACCAGAAGCACAGAAAGCTGAAAGCTGATAAAAAAATTGAAAAAAGAACAGAATAAAGAAGTAATGCAGAGCATAAAACCTGAAGACTGGGAAGAGTATTTCAAAGAACTTTTGGTACAGAATAGAGTCGAATTTCAAGAACATGGAAATCAAAACCAAAATAGAATTTCAATAGTCGGCTAAGATTAACAACATCATTATCATTTTTGGCTCTACAACCCTTGGTGGGTCTTGGCCTGTTCAAGAATTAGTCTTTAGTCCCGCCCATCTTTCGCCCTGGTTTTCCAATTTCTGACCCCTAGATTCTTCAAGTCATGTTCGACTTAAGTTTTGAATCTAGATCTTGACCTGCCTCTCTTCCTGGTTTCTACTGGCTCTTGATATAATATCTGTTTTTGGGGGTCTCCAGTGTCCATTCTTTCAAGGTGTCGTAGCCACCTTACTCTATTAATTTTAATAGACCGGACGATGTTGCATTTTTCATACAATTGATACAACTCAAAATTATAGCGCCTGCGCCAAGATTAACAATAGAAGAAATTAAAAATATGTGTAAGCAGCTGAACAGGAACAAAGCACCCGGACTAGGGAATATACATGGAGAACTGTTTAAGTACGGAACGCACAAATTATACGAATGTCTTCGACAAGTATTTTAAGAATGCATAAACACAAGCGAAATCGCTACGGAATGGGAGATATCATACCTCAGTCTATCTATCTAATTAGCCTTCTTTGGTCCATCTTTGGACATAGGCCTCCCCAATCCTTTTCCATTCTTCTCTGTCTGTTGCTACAGCCATCCACCTAGAGCCCACATGCTTCTTGATATCATCTGTCCATCTCACTTGGGGCCTTCCTCTGCTTCGTTTATATTCCCACGGTCTCCAACTTATAAGAATTTTGTTCCATCGGTCTTCTTCAAAGTGCTATGCAACCAACCAATAACAACAAAAAAGGCAGAGAAACAATTAACAACAGGATTTATAACATGAAAAGGATTAAAGCGAGAATGTTGTCTGTCCCCCACTTTATTTAAAATATAACTCGAAAGTGCTTTAAAAAGATGGAAACAAAAATGCAGAACAATGGGGATGCCGCTCATCAACACTATGGTATATGCGTGCAACGTTGCAGACGATCAAGTAATAATGGCTCAAGATTATGACGATTTAAACTATATGGCACAAAAATTAATTGAAAAGTATAATATATGGGATCTAGAAGTAAATAAAAAGAAAACCGAATACCAGTGCTTTGGAGTAAAACAAAAATATCTTATATTAGACGATAACACCACGATAAAGCACTGCTGTAACTACAGATATCTAGGTATCCCTATGGAAAGATGTCACTATGTCTAAGATGGAAAATTAAACAAAGCCATAAGAGAGAGAAATACGCCAGGGAAAAAAGCCATCACAATGTTAAACAGCATTTAATGGGACTAATCCATCAGCAAAGAGAATAAAAAGAGGATATATGAGACTAAAAAGTATCGGTTTAGAAAGCTGTGAGGTATGGCCACTGAAAGAAAGAACACTGACAACGCTGAAAGCTACGGAAATGGATTTTTGGAGAAGAGCCGCAAGAAGATCTAGAAGAGAAAGGATTACCAATAAACACATTAGAAAAATAATAGAGAAATCAAACGAACAATCACAGATGACCTAACAACAAAACAACTTATCTGTGGAAAATAATACAGAGGGAAAGAGAAAACGAGGTAGACCGAGAAAAAGTTGGAACGAAGGAATAAATAAAGAACTGGGAGAAAGGGCCGTAGAAGAAGAGCTACGGAACAACGGGACTAAGTGGCGATTGGACGTCGGAAAACGGCGGAGAACGTTATAAACCGACAACAAGTAATAGTAGGAATATTTTGAAGAATATAAAATAGTGTTACGATTTTAAATATTATGGCGTAAAAAACTGTAAATATATTGTGACTAATTCTTTTCTATTTGTAGTAATTTTGGCGCTCATACCTGTTACCTGCCGGCAGAAATTACTAGACCCTTCTCCAGAAAGGTCGAATATCCACTTCAGGTACCAAGAATGCCGTCGGCGGTGGCCCTCCGAATTTACCAGAAGGCGAACGACTTTTCTAGACTGGTTGAATGGGTCACCTAATGGATGGTACGTCATCGATGCATCGCCAGACTCTTCTAGATAGCGGCATTTCACATAAATAACGGTGTTAGTCAAAAGAAGATCGCGGATATCGGATTTTTAAAATGTAACGGACGTAGATAAATTATTAAGTGTAAAATAAATTATTAGTAATAAAGACTTTGGTAAATTCGGGAGTGTTATAAATATTGAACCTTTAGTAAATTAAGATAAGAACAATAAATTAGAATTAATAAAACAGTTCAATAGACATGAAGAAAATAAAACTTTTTTAAAAAAAAGGAAAAGTCACTATTTTTTTAACAAACTTTGTATACAAAAACAAATAAAATGTAGATCGAAAGCAATCGTATTAATACACGGTATGATGTGAAAACTAGCTAACGTGATTTAGTGAAATAGGAGAAAATTTGGATATATCATCAGGAAACACTCTATGTTTATATGTATAGTGCACTTTTATGTATATTAAAATTTTTATTTTTTCGTTGACATGCGAAGGTACAATAACTATTTTTACGTACACGGAATGTTTTGCAGTAAGATATATCAAACACTATAGCACATACGGATATATTCCAAGGTAAATGTGCTGAATATTTTGATTAAAATGTTGCTAATCTGCTATGTTGAGTCTAAATTGGAAGTAATGTTCACAGAAGACTTGTCAACGTACATTTCAATGAGTAAATGTGTGGCTGAGGTGTGTCAGAGATACTTCACCAATTTGGCAGGACAAAATTTGTTGATAGTTGTTGAAGAATCAACTAGTACTTCACTATTTCGTTACCTTTTAGAACAAGAAATATCACAACGTAAAATAATTCCGTATTATATCTTCTGTGTATATAAAGATATTGTTAAATTTGAAACGAAAAAAGTAAGTTTTGAGTATGTGATTATAGAAATGTCATCTATATCGAAGTTTAAGGACATAGTTTGTATGATAATCGATCTTCCTAGTTGGAATCCTTTGTCCAAATTTTTGGTTATTTCGTATGAAACATTTAAAAATGCAAGTGATTTAGCTAATGATCTAATTCATTTCTTATGGAAGAAAGATATCACGAAAACAGCAATTCTTCTACCAAGAAAAGATGATCAATCTAGCATTGACGCCTACACTACATCTACATTTCGTCATGACTCTTTCTTTACAACTTCTTGCAAAAATGGCTATTTTTTAACACAAGATATGTTATTTAAAAAGATCTTGCCTAGATTATCGTCCGCTCCGATCAAAATAAAGTACTATCCTTGGCCGCCTTCAATTATAACAAAAAATAAAATGAATGATGTTCACAAACCAGGAATAGAAGGCAAAGTTTTAAGTATTGTAGCCAAAAGATTAAAAGTCAACTTTACGTATACATCACTAAGTACTAAATATCCTAAAGGCACAGTACTTCCCAATAGAACTTTAGTAAGAGAGTTTATTGATTTATTTTATAAACGTTATGATGTGTTAGCTGGTGGTTATGTTTCCACGTTTCAAAGAATAGAGTTTTTTACTCCTAGCATATATATCCACAAAGATGACCTAGTATGGTGCGTACCAAAACACGATGAAAAATCGCTCAGTGTTCATATCCAGAAAGAGGTTATATTGGGCGTAATTTTGACTTTCGTCTTATTACTATCACTTATCGAATGGATAAATAAACACCAAGAACATAAGAAGCTAAAAACATCTTTTTGGACTGTAATCATAAACGGTTTGGCTATATGTTTTTCAGTATCAGTGACCAATTTCCCAAAAACAAATAAATTAAGATGCTTTGTTGGTTTATTAATAATATTTTCTTACTTATGCAGTATTTTAATAACGGGTGAAATCACTAGTAGTTTAGTTATGGTTCCAAATCAAAAATACGATACAATGAAGAAGATATATGACAGCAATCTATCTACTTATCTAGTTACAAACTCCGAAAGGTATTTTAGTAATGATATTGTAAGTGATGTACCGAGAAATGTGATTATAGAGAGAATGATTCCTTGTCAGAACACGTCTTATTGTTTAAAATTAGTAGCAGAAGGACACTCAGCGTTGTTGAATACAAGACTCAATACACATTATCTGGTTTCTACTGATAACG